AAGTTCTGGAGTTTTGGGCTACTTTTGTGCCACATGACTGGAATTCATAACTTGCACTAACATTTCTTGTGAATGTCCTAATTATTTTTTTAAATCCCAAGTTTGTTATATACTTTTTTTGTAGCTTTGTGTAACTTTATTAGTTAAAATTCAATCATTCACTTTAATATTTTCTATTATGCAATTGTAAAATATTAAGTAAAAATATTATCAATTTTAAAGCATGAACAATATTCATGTAATTTCTGAATAGTTGGTTAGTTAGTTTAGAGGCCACATGTTTACTAGTGCTTCAGCTATTTAGCTATCTCACACTGAAGGCCAACATGAACATCACCAAAGAGGCGGAAGGTCTCAATTTTCAAAAGTTTCTCAAATCAAAAACTGTTCATCACCCACAAGGGGCGGAAGGTCTCAATTGTCCAGCCCGCTGAAGCTGGCTCGAAAGAAGCAGTGTTAGCATCTCACAGAGACAAAGTGACAAGGAGGGACAGGTGAAAATAACAGAAACAAAGACACTTGAACATGAGGTTGCTTACACGGGACGTTGGCCACTCGCACAAGAGAGACAGATAAGGGAAATGTAAGGAATCCTACCTTCATAATAACTTAACCCCCACAACTGAGACCCACAGTCAGACACCCTGAGCTCAGTGGTGGGGCGCTCAGGAACAATCCCCTAGGAACACAAAATCCTATAGGACTTCTGACAATTGACGAGCACAGACACCCGTCAGAAGTTCCCCCTGAGGGGAACTTTCTGAATAATAGCAATTCCATTAATGACACTCGTACTTATATATTCTTATTCTAATAGGGTCATTGAAAAACTGTGAATTGTGTTTAGACTGTGCCAGTGGGCAAGATTAGCCAGTCATGCCTCAGCTTCATGTTATGGCCAGTGTCAGGTGAACTGCTAGGGGACTAGGGGTAAGCTGCAAAGTTCTTATCTAGAATTCCATTCTTATAATGTAATTAAATATTTCAAAGTGCAACAGTCCAAACTGAATTACTGCTTGCTCTCAATAATCTTTTGATATTGTTTTATCCTATTTTGTCATTGTCAGTGCTATGCTGTTACATCTTTATTCTAACAACCATCACCCATGCAAGTGTTGGTCACCGGTAGAAGTCTAGACTGTCTAGTATAAGAATAGCTATTTCAACAAATTCAACCTATTGTCAGTCTTGAAAAGAACCGGTCAAAATGACACGATTTTAGATCTTCTGTGAACATGTCACAAAAAATTCAAGAACATGCCACATCAGGCCTACTCTTAAGCACCAACATCACTATGTTAACTTATGTTATGTTATTTTTTATAATTTGATTTGAAGGCTTCGGGTATGCAGGTAGCACACCTCCCAGCCTGAGCACAACTGGGGTTTTGGACACTTCACTTGACTTCTAGATCTCTTTACCTCCTAGATAGCACTTTCACAGCCAGTGTGGCAGTAAATTGTGAAAAGAAAAATTATAATTAGGCTTTTTTATATTCACAGCCTGGCCACCACATTGCAGCTAAGCAGATATTGACCAAGAAGACAGATGGCATCACCACCTCCAAGAGCTGAGGACAGCTCCCACGGAAGAGACAGGCCCTCCAGTCTTGTGCGGAATTCTCTTTGTTGGTTGATGAACAGCGTGCAGTGCAGGATGAGGTGTCTGATTGTGCCCTCTACATTACATACCTACTGGACAATTACTGGAGTCTGCTAAGTTGAATCTGGCCAGAGGAACATTAACACCAGCATGCCCCAGGCACAGACATGACACAGCGCATTCAACGGAATGTGGTAGTGATCCATAGTCCACATAGGATATCTCAGATCCCAAGCTTCTTCGGAAGGTGCTCTTTCCTGTTTCTTGCATGTTGGCTGACCATTGGCGTTCCCACTCTTGAACAGTGAGTGACTTCAAGGTGCAGATCCACTCCTCAAAGCACAGTTGAGATCTTGCTGTGCGGTTAGAATGTGCAACGTTTGCTACCCTATCTGCCACCTCATTCCCACGAATACCGCTGTGTCCTCTGATCCAGCAAATGCTACCCTATCTGCCACCTCATTCCCACGAATACTGCTGTGTCCTCTGATCCAGCAAATTACCACTTTGTCTAGTCCCTTGACAAGCATCAACTCCTGTATCTTGAAGACAATTTCGCAATATGAGTGCCCAGAAGAGTAGGATAAAAGCTGCAAAGCAGACCTTGAATCTGATAAAATCAAAACTGGCTCGTTCCTCATTGATACATCCTCAGTGGCCAGCTGCATGGCTTTGTATATTGCAAACAGTTCAGCGCCAAGGACTGTGTGCTCTCTTCTAAGTGACCAGCCAGTTGCCATGTTTGCGAAGTGCAAACCGCGATTTTTTAATCAAACAAAAATTTATGACATTCGAGCCGCGAGATTTCATACCTACTGAAATTATATGATATTAGAGCCGCAATATTTCAGACAAAAATAGGACTTTTCCAGACTAGCTTATAGGACTCAAAAATGAACTTGAGGGAGAGTCTAAAAAACTCTCTGCTTTGCCACTATGCCAAGGGCCAAGGGCATGCGGCCTTGCGAAGGGTCAAGACCGCGGACCGCCACACGGCGGTGGACCAACATAAGTACCTCTCTTCATAGACTTCCACTATGGCACAGGTCGTTAAAATGACAATATAAATTCCCGCGCACCTGGCACATCTTCCTGACCATGGCGTGCTGGCCACTGGTTTACTCTTGCAGTTTTGCTTAGCCATATTAGCAAGCTTCAATTACAACCATTACTTTCAGTATTCACAAGTTAATTTTAGAGAGCATTATGACTGAAACTAACACTACATTTGTTCCCTCACCTTTGGAAGCTGCTACTAAATCTCTAACTTCCTTCGTGAGAGTTTTGATTGCTTGACTTGTCTTATCTAACTCTTTTTCGTGTGCTTGGAGTTTTTGACGAAAGTATGGGCTATCAGTCAGACAGTCCATATACTCAAGGGGCATAAGACCCATCCTGAATCATAACTTTTTCCACTTCCTACTCACTAATTCTTATCACCATGACAGAAAGTGTGGCACAACATACGACGAACACAACACCATCGCTATCTGAGTCATACTGACTTAGCGAGAGAAAATTTCATCAGGAGAGCAGTCGTCACATTTTCATGGACAAATTTTACCCTAAAGTAAATGAATGTACCTCAAATCTAGTTGATCATTGTTTATAATCTATTAAAATTTAACTTCAAAAATTACGCTTTCATTATTTAATTGAAATTACTTATAACACGTTGCTTCTAAATTTATTTCGAGAAAATGTTTAATTTATTCGCTAAACGGTATTCCAAAATTTGAATCCCAAATGGCTACCCATGCATAGTTCTCTAAATAGATCGTCATTTATTCTTATTGTATAGAATACATTCATCTACAATAAAATATAGGCAGATTTCATTGAAGACCAGAGAATTCGTTTAATCGACAATTTTCTTATTAGTTTTTTCAATAGATCGAACAACATTTTTCGTTGACACTGGTAAATCGAAAATCAAAGTAGCTATGGACATTGTTATTTCTTTATCAACGTTTCCAATGTATCAATCATTCAATATCAAGTTACAAGACGCATATAGTGATGAAATTTGAATTTGGGAGAAATCATGTAAATAGGATACTCCTCATAAATTTGAAACAAGAACCAACACCAGGGGCCACGGCTATAAACTAAAAAAAAAACTGCGCTGCAACTTCTCTACGCGACAACATTTCTCGCTTCGAATCACCGACGCGTTCAAGAACAGACTAGATAAAGCTATGGAAAAATATAGGTACAGATTTGAAGTGCCTAATTCCATATCGAACCCGGTGGAAGTCTAGTAACTACTCCAAACTATCGTCAGTCATGAAAATATCCGGTCAAATGAAATGATATTAGATCTTCTGTGAACAAGGCACGAAAAGGAAAAGAATCGGCGACAGGCCACATCAGGCCTACACTTCAACGCCGAGATCAATATGTTATGTTATGTTAAATCAAATTGTTAGAAATAATTACAAAATCACAAATATGCAGATAATCAGGAATTAAAACACCGAAAATTACTCCGAAAACAGTCTCAAGGTTCTGACAAGGCGTTCGACCTTGAAAAGCAAGATCAGCGTATATCTAAAATAAGTCACAGTAACGTCGACCACTTTGTAACTCATCTGAAAAAATTAAATCAGCTTGCAACTCTCTAGAATGCCACGTNGTCACTTCATCTCTTTGAGATGCTAACGCTGTTTCTTTCGAGCCAGCTTCAGCGGGCTGGACATCTGAGACCTTCCACCCCTTGTGGGTAATGACCTATTTTTGATTTGAGAAACTTTTTATAATTGAGACCTTCCACCTCTTTGGTGATGTTCAAAATGACTTTCGGTGCGAGATAGCAAAATAGCTGAAGCGCTAGGAAACCTCTGGCCACTAAACTAACTAACTAACGTATTCACCATAGGACTTGAAAGGAAGCCGTCATAACCAACCCTACAATTTCTTTCCCTTAAAAGGCACTATACCTCACAAAACCAACCTAAAGCACGTAATCTAATTCTGCTATCTACCAAAGTGCCATCAAACAAGGCCGCGCGACGACGGCCTTCACACCTGTCCACGATGCTCATTACTGGGAGTATCCGAAAATGCTCATATAATGTTGTGGTTCGAGACAAGTTTGAAGACATATTCCGAGGGCCTCAAAGAACTCAGAGCGTCAACACAATGCGCATTACTAATTTTTAGCTATTCATATTAATGCCGGTAGTAAGACTTCGCGCATAAAAAAAAAACATTCGAACGTATGTACGAACAACAGCATTAACATCGCCAATGCTATTTGTATGTAATGTCTTGATAACTGGTGATAACATCAGAACATGGAGGATTGTAGCAAAATAATTTTTTTATGTCTATTCCAGCCCGTCTCTGCTGGTGCTCGTTCGTTGAAACAAAGGAATATAAAATAAACACGGATTCTCAAACAGTACAAACATGTGTTTATTCCTTTTTACAACATGATGCATCATCCTCATCATCACTCTCATCCTCCTCATCATCATCTTCATCATCATCATCGTCTTCGTCATCATCGTAGTCCTGGAAGCTGTAGCCTGAGGCTGCCCCCGCAGCGTCGTCGTCGTCGCTGGCGTCTCGCTCCTCCGCGTAGTTGCCTTGCTGCCGTCCGTACTTGTGAGCGCGCGCTGCAAGCAACCACAGCTTTAGTAATGCATTGCGCTTAGAAAATCTAATTTTTGTACAGCTGACCCTGGGATGCTTACATGCAACTCATGGTGAATTTCTCTTGACAACACACCACTGACAACTGCCACTTCATCACAACACAAATGAAACTAAATAGCAATAATCAATGTCTGTAACCTGGAAATCTATCATCATGCACTGTAACAACAGTCCACGAATAATGTATTAGAATTCGCTGCAAATACATGAGTGCCATTATGAGCATATTTCGTATTTAAAATAAGGCGTATTTTACACGCAGAAATGCGTACGTAAGCAACAAAGTATTTTGCAAACACTAATCTTTCAGCAAACCTGCGCCATTAATTCCAATTGATAATTATTGGTAACTTCTGTAAAATTAATCACATTGGAAGTGATGCAATAAATCAAAATAACTCTAAAACAAACATCGAAACCATTGAATTGGAACAAGTAGCAGTGCTGGTGGTGAAGTTGGGTGCCGCGTCTGCTCGATCAAGACGTTCTTCTAACTTCTTTCATAAAAATAATAAAATCATACAAACAAAATAGACAAATAAGCTGTCATTGATCTGACTACATTCAAGAGAATCCAAGTTGAACTAAAGGAATAAATCTGATTTTGAATAGTAACTGTCGATTATATTTTATCAATTGATAAGCATTATATTTTCAGCCACGTCTTTCCTATTCTAAATTCCCATTCACACCAAAAACTTCCTTCACATGTAATAGAAGCGAATTTCGATAGCATTCATGTTGTTATTAACAGCAATATTTACATTCTTGATAAAAAATATATTCAATTAATTGCTTAAAGAGAATTTGAATTGAATTAGTGGATATTTGGTCCATCAAATTTTTGAACAAAAAATATCAATTTTTAGAAAGTATTCTGAAGACCAATACTGCCGAACAAGTTTAAAATAACAAATCCAGCTGCAAAAGAATGAACAAAATACCAGAAAAATACCAATTTCCAAATCTTTTGAGAGAGAGAAAAAAAAGAGTCCCACTCACTGGACATGCTGAGCTCCTTGGTCTCCTCAGTGGGGAAGCCGCACTTGGGGCAGGGCGGCTTGGCCTTAGCGTCCTGCTTGACGCCCTTCCTCTTGACGTGCTCCTCGCAGTAGCAGATCTTGCAGCGCAGGCACGAGTGCTGGCCCAGACGACTGCACGACAGGCCTATAGCATCACAAGCATCATTCAGCATTGCCCAAATTATTGCAAATAATTATATTTCGTGATGAAATTTTGATACAAATAGATTATCAATCATCGCCTGAATATTGAGAAGCACAATTTTCTGCTATGAATATTGATTAAAAACGTTTTAGCAGCACAACAGATTATCCCCTACATTGGTAAAAAGATTAAAATACGTCCTCAGATGAAATGAAAGAATTACTGCTACGGAGCAGCAGGAGTCACATCACTAAAATTCTGCCACGCATGATAGCAATAAATAATTTCTGCTGAATTTGGCATGAGGAGTTACATCACAAAAACATGACCACACATCATACAAATAAAGAGTGTCAACTGCAGGGCAACAGAAGTCTCAACAGGTTCGGGGTGGGTAGTTAAAAGATTTTCAGAATATCTTCATACAAAGGGAAATGGATATTTAAGTCAATCTTGGATGTGCAAGCAAACAAGAGCAAATGAAGGCCACTGAAATGACGCTTACTGAAATATATTTTGAAAGACGCCAATATTAGCTCCACGATTGTAATAAAACGTGAAGAGGTGGAAATTCCCCAAGTCTGATAAACGTTGATTGGTATCAATAGATGTAGGAAACTTTCCTGGATTTGAAATAACCTGCATTTGTACTCACACTTGTATGACTCTTGCTCTAGCACCTGACATGAGGCCTGGTGCTCGAACTGGTCGTCCTCACACAGGTAGTTGTTGCAGAAGTTGCAGTTAAATATTCTGCCTCCGTGGCTCCACACCTGTAACACGTCAACAGTCAATGTTGATCTTGTGTAGCAGTACCGGTTCCTGTGACGGGCTCAAAGCTTGAAATTCAAAAGGGAAATTTTATGAAAGAAGTAATGTTAACGAGATTGAAAATTTGCTATTGGTGATGTGGTCCGTTGGTCCTACATTGTTTCTCTGGCAACCGCACTGTAATTGATTTCTAAAAAGGTAATAAAACAGCACAGAGTAAACATGAAGCATACTTGGTATACTGAAAGGATATATTGTTTGTTTTACAATGGCATTCTTAGATCATATACAATTAGTAAAGTTCAGAATATGCATATATTAAAGAGCACTATTTAGGATATTGAAATAACCTAAGTAAATTAGAATATTTAAATTAATGAATGTAGTAAGAAGGAGTGTAATCAAAGGAGCACGAGAATGACGCTCGAGTACCAAGTAATTGCAGTCACTTTAGCTTTGAGGAAATTCTATGATTTGCCTCCACAGATTTCCTCAGACCTAGAATTATGGAGTATGGTAATCGAATGGAGTAAAAAATCTAATATCTGGAATAGCAGCACAATACACAAATTGGCTTGTGGTAGATGGATTTTTTTGCAAAATAAAAAAAATCACTAACCCTGAATTTTATACGAGAAAGTCAGAGTTTCAAAACTGATTGTGTTCAATTTTCAATATCTTTCAATCCATCCTACTACAAATCTATCTCGCAAAATCTAGCCAGCAAGAAGTGCAAATACAAACCAAACTCTTGAAGGCTTCACTTTAAATGTTTTAACTTGTGTTTACATAACGGTGGTTCCATGGGTAGGCATAGATGAACTAAATTGCAATGCAACTGCAAAAGAACATTTTCATGCCGTAAACCTCACGGTCAGAAATACTGTATAATGACTTTAATAATTGAATATTTTCCTGCCCAGATAAACTTACAACCAATGACGCTACAGGTATTTCGAAAAATGAAAAAAGGGTGTGCAGAACTGTAAAGCGTGAATACTACTGCAGAAAAAAAAATAATAAAAAAATCATGTAAATAATATTTCAGAGCACAAAACTCCTATATTTTTCAAATAAAGTGACCATGTCAACAAAACACCTTTAAGAGGTCAAGAAGAACTTCAGAAACCAGTTCCGGTTCTAATCAGGACAACTGGGAGAGGAAAACTTTGAGAGTATCTTGTTGAAAAAGACGGGTTGAAAATGTCGGCATGGTAACAATTACATGCAAATATACGCAAAGGTCAACAGGAAAATGTGCGTTTAAGTCAACGACAAGCTAACTCACGTCTCTCTCACACTCTATACAGCACGCATCAGTGAGGGGGCAGCTGCATGCATGTGTCTGTAGGCACTTCCTGGCGTGGCAGATCCAAGTCTCGCAGAAGTCACATATGGCGCCCTGAAACACAAGCAAAATTCAGACTATCAAAACTCTTAAGAATACAAGATAATATCCAATTGCATAAAGTTTCTTGAAAACAATTTATTCTGATGACATAACTCAAAAAAATTAATGATACAAATAGCTAAATATATTTGCATTGCCCATAGCATTTCTAACAAAGAATTGAAGTTTATAGGAAGAAATAGTTTTTCATTGTATCCAAGAATAGACAAGACCTAAACCAGTTGAATAAATCATTAAACTAAGCTGCTAGAGTTAGAAAATTATTTTCATAAAAATTGTATCATCACTGGAGTCAAATTGAATTTAAAATATTGATTGATATGTATATAAGAGGAAAAAATTCTGTAATGAAGTTTTTTCCAGAATTAAATCAATTTTTAGGTTATTATTTTATTTTTCATTAACTTCTATCACTTATACTCCTTCACAGAATCTTGAATAACAAATAAGTTCTGCATTAATTGTAGCCTGGTTACAATTGGTTCTCAACTTTCTAGCATACTTTCTCTTTAAACACAATTTTTAGAGGTCTTTTGATGGACAAGCTATGTTTAAGTGAAGATTGATTATTCCAGCAATTATGGAATGGACAGATGAAGTATCACCATAACCATGCCTGTGGTAAAATGACCAAGCATTGTATGAGGCAAGAAACAATAATGCTGACTTCAGTAGAAATTTGGGCAGCTTTTGAAGAAAATCTAAACATAAACTATGTCTTGCAAGTCTTTGAGAATGTTGCACATTTTCCACTATTTTGACTCACCTGTTGCATTTTTCACATTCCTGCAAATAAAAGCGAACAGTTAGTAATTATTTAACTGTTTATTTATTTAACCTATGATATTTGCTCAACAAATTCTGGTATAAATATATGTCAATACAAGTTTTAATACTTCACCTTAGAATTAAGCCTTAGGCATGCAAAAATAACTCAAGAAAAAAGTATAAATAAATAGAAACAAGTTTTAAATGATGACCCTAACAAAAAATTAAAATATTAATACAAACCATGGCAAAGTTACATGGCTGCTCAGCCAGAGAACGACTAGCCAGTCCTTTTCTTAGCTCTTTTTGTATTAACTTCTGACGCTCTGCTTTCTTGCGCTGGCCTGTTTTCTTTTTAGGCATTATGTATACAACTAAGAACCTGAAAACTAAAATGAATATTAAATTTAGATTTCAGATAGTCTTATAATTTACATTGTTAGAGGCCACATTTAGAGATGCGACGTAAAAAAAACACTCATGTTTTTTTAATAAAAAACAATTTTTTTAATAAAAAACATCAGCCTAGAAAAAACATGTTTTTTATTGTTTTTTTTTTGAGAAAAACATAAATAAATGCAAATAAATCCATAATCACTTTACCTGAGGGCCACAGGATGATAGGTGACAGGTCTATGCTGTAGGTATCTTAAAATTCCTAATATCATTGAATGACAGCGAAGTCATTTGTATTGCATCATAGCTACTTGCCTATTGCATCATCTTTCAATAAACATAGCAGGTGCAGGCTGCCAGGCGGCGCCGCATCCCGCGCGGCTTGTTAAATCGTCCTTGCATATTGCATCATCTTTTATTTGACATTGTTCCAGCCTTCCAGGCCGCCAGTCAGTGAGCTGCGCAGGTTATTGCGTCATCCTTGTATATTGCATCTTCTTTTAGTTAACATTGTTGCAGGCCGACTAGCAACTAGCATGCCATGTGTTAATGGTGGCAAACTTTTTGGAGAGATTGCAGACTACCGATCAAAACAGAAACTATTTCATAAGCCATACATCTGGAATGCTGTGAAACACACCACACCATCGACTTGGTGGTCTGGCTTGTGTGGCTCCACTGAACTATCAAAAATCGCCAGTCAGATACTGAACTTGCCTCCCACAAGTGCAGCTGTTGAACGCTCGTTCAGCAGGCACTCGCACGTGCACTCAGCGAAGCGGAATAGATTGACAGCAGAGAGGGCGGGCAAATTGGTGTATATAGGGCATAACCTACAATTGATCGACGATGCCGATAATGAACCTGCTGCATTGCCATCAGCCTCAGAAAAATGGCCGCAATTGTTAACAACTGCAGGCTTAAACCAAGAGCATCAAAACGAGTCAGACAGTGACACTGACAGCCATATGGACATGGATGATGTTCATGACCCTGATGGAGATCAACAAGAAGATACTCTTCCAAGTCTTGGTGATACAGTGATAAGTGATAGTGACTCTGAGTGAATCATGCCTCACGAGTCATGGTGAGTGATGCCGACTCGATGAGGCACGTGACCCACGTCACATACCACAAGTGACTTCAATATGTTTACTTGAAATGGAGTACTTTTTTTAGATGCTTTTATTTTTTCTACAGATTTTGATATCAGAGTCTGGTATCTGGTTGGGAGGGACTGAGTCATAGTCTTAGACTCATAGGTCATGGTGAGTGACTGAAAATGGAATGCTTTGAAAATATTTATTTTTTGTATTTTTTGCATACTTTGATTTTTGAGTACAATAAGGAAATGAAAAATTTGTTTATTTACCCTTTTAAGCTTTGAACTAGAAGTATTAGGCTTGATAAATTATAAATCACACATGAGATATGTTAAATAAGATTTAAAAACACATCATTTCAATGTATATTAAGGGTATAGATATATTGATCCCAAATAAATACACAAAAGAAAAAAAACAATAAAAAACAAAAAAAAAAAACACATAAAAAAATTTTTTTTACTAAAAAAACACTCTGGAAAAAAAAAACATTTTTTTTTTGCATCTCTAGCCACATTTTGGCAGGTACATTATTTATTTGGTGTTTTAAGGCATTTTGCATTAATTTCTAGGCATTTTCTCTCCTTTCATTTTCTGCAGTGCTTGACTGCTAAACAAATGACAGCTAGTTAAAGTCAAATAGTGCACATGAATGTGTGGCACTACCCATTACTAGTCTTATGGAACAAGTCAGTTTTACATGGTTCTGCACACCTTGCATCCGTACTGAGCTGCTACTCACACATGAGCCTGTTTTCTACCCATGCAGGCACCTGACTTCATAGCTGATCTGCAGTTAAAGCTTAGCTTGGCTCTAAAATAGGTGAGTCAAGGGGAAAACATTTGCCATACATCTCAATCCTAAATTTTAAGATTAAAGATACCTGTAAATACTTGTACCGTCAACCAGGGCTACTCGGGATGGGCGGCGTAAAACTGTTTTAGTAGCAAAACTCATTGGAATATTGCAAAACTAAATATAGTGGCATAAAGGTCAACATTTTTCCTATCTATGTAGTATAAAGGAAGTTCGAAAATACTACATTTACTAGCTTTGAAAAATTCCTGAAAAAATGGTGAAAAATTATATTTTGAAAAGTTACTTCTGCTAAGGTCTGTAGTAAAAAAAATATTTGCCGTATTAAATAATTTTGCTTAGAAATAATATACGTTTAAAAATTACTTTTTAAAGACAACACTTCCAAAGAATCCAGTATCTCCAATCTTACAGATGTACAATGAATTTCTCATCTAATTTTCAAAAATTAAAAAAATTAAAACCGCTATCTAGACCGAGATTGTAAGACCAGTCGTCACTCTGGGGTCACCATTGAAGAGGAGTAGAACGGAAACAATATTTTATTTGAGTTTTGATTACTCCTCCTACTTCTTAGACCTCAGATGAGGTCTATACCAAATTTATCGGGGAATTTTCACTGTTCCCTTTACCACATTTTACTGATTCTGTTTATTGATAGGAAAATTCCCCGATAAATTCGGTATAGACCTCATCTGAGGTCTGAGAAGTAGGAGGAGTAATTAAAACTCAAATAAATATTGTTTCTGTTCTACTCCTCTTCAATATATCAATAAAGGAAAAATAAGTAAAAATCACAGAAAATGTCATTTATTCTACCTCTACATCATCTACAATGAAAGAGGAGGACTTCAGAGTACTGTTAGTAATAGATGAGTACGCTCTGCATGCTTCAAATATTTTAAAATGAAGTTCTATTCCAAGTGTCCTGAGTAGCCCCGTTCGACGGGGCTATTTGGGACACTCTTTTTTTGCTTCTGGCACCTTACAAATAGCATATGGAATTTTTTTGGATAAGCCATGTGATAGCCCTTGCAAAGAGCTTTGAAATGAGCCTAAACTTGTTTATGAAATGTTTCATGGTAAGAAGTTATGAATGAAAAACTTTTGAAATCATCCCGAGTAGCCCTGGTTGACAGTACCATCCTTTTACATTGTGGGTTTTAGAGCATACAAGACCAGCTGTGTCTAAGGTAGGGTAATGATTCTGTGTTTCAAGTGTTTTAATTTTTGGATCATTTTTTTTTTTGTGATCCTGTTCCTTGCATTTTTGCAGATGGGCTAGTTCAGAATGAGTGTTAGGTAAATTTTGCAAGTTCTGGAGTTTTGGGCTACTTTTGTTTTGTGCCACATAACTGGAATTCATAAGTCATAACTTGCGCTAACAATTCTTGTGAATGTCCTAATTATTTCTTTAAATCCCAAGCTTGTTATACACTTTTTTTGTGGCTTCGTGTAACCTTATTAGTTAAAATTCAATCATTCACTTTAATATTTTCTATTATGCAATTGTAAAATATTAAGTAAAAAATATTATCAATTTTCAAGCATGAACAATATTTATATAATTCATGAATAGTTGGTTAGTGAGTTTAGTGGCCACTAGCGCTTCAGCTATTTAGCTATCTCACACTGAAAGTCAAGATGATAGATGAACATCACCAAAAAGGAGGAAGGTCTCAATTTTCAAAAGTTTCTCAAATCAAAAACTGTTCATCACCCACAAGGGGCGGAAGGTCTCAATTGTCCAGCCCACTGAAGCTGGCTTGAAAGAAGCAGCATTAGCATCTCACAGAGACGAAGTGACAGGTGAAAATAATAGAAACAAAGACACTTGAACATGAGTCATGAGGTTGCTTACAGTTACAAGGGACGTGGGCCGCTTGCACGAGAGAGACAGATAAGGGAAATGTAAGGAATCCTACCTTGCTACCTACATAATAACTTAACCCCACAACTGAGACCCGTAGTCAGACACATGGTGCAATTCTATAGGTTATTCAAAAGAACCTGGTCTTATGTCATTTTGAACCGATCAATACTTCTTTACGGACCAAGGACCGATCATGTAACACAACCTTACCCGGCAAAAGCTTTCTTGCTTCTGAAGAAAGGGGCGGTTTGTCAGCTGAGCTGACACTGGCCGTGGGCGGGCCTTATTTGAATTTGAACACATGCATCCATTTGAAATCCTAGACCCATAGGGCCATAGTATACGAGTCAAAGAGAGATGTGTATAAGAGACAGCTAAAATATAAATTGTTGGTAATTCTAATGGTGCATAATTTATAAATTGAAGGTTTGGCAGAGCTCACTCATGACTAACCTGAATAAGGTCCAAGATGCCTAATTCACTCTCAGACGAGTCCACACAGAAAACAAAGTACAGTGTGGCATAGTGTCGGTNCAGACTCAGACAGTCAGACACCCCTAGCTCAGTGGTGGGGCGCTCAGGAACAATCCCCTAGGAACACGAAATCCCATAGGACTTCTGACGAGAACAGACACCCGTCAGAAGTTCACCCTGAGGGGTAATTTCTGAATAATAGCAATTCAATTAATGACAGTTATGACACTGATACTTATATAATCTTATGCTAATAGTAATAGGGTCATTGAAAAATTGTGAATTGTGTTTAGACTGTGCCAGTGGGCAAGAGTAGCCAGTCATGCCTCAGCTTCATGTTATGGCCAGGCCAGCATCACTGCATCAGGTGACCTGCTAGTGCTAGGGGACTAGCTAGGGGTAAGCTGCCAAGCTCTTACCTAGAATTCCATTCTTATAATAATAATGTAATTAAATATTTCAAAGTGCAACTGTCCAAACTGAATTACTGCTTGCTCTCAAATCTCAATAATCTTTTAATATTGTTTTATGCTATTTTGTCATTGTCAGTGCTATGCTGTTATGTCTTTATTGAGTTTATTCCAACAATCATCACCCATCATGACCCATGCATTACATAGTGGCAAACCAGAGCTTTTTTAGAATCAGTTCATTTTTAATTTCCTCATTTACTCAAGATTTAAACCAATTTCTTATGTATGATAATGCTGGTATCCAGGATAGTGAGGATACTTTATTGGTTTACTTATAAGACTCAAAAATGAACTTGAGG